TATAGGGGATCCTGTTACCAGAGAATGAGGGATCCAGACAGCTTGGCAGAACAGGAGCAGTGCTAGTTTCAGTACAGAACGAGAGTAAGCAAAGACCACTCTCCAGCAGCCATGGAGACTTATATTTGGGGTGATCCTCTCTTTCCATTCTATCAAGCTTTCATCTCCACCACTCCACCAAAACTGCTCTTATCAAGACCAATAACCTTCACACCACCAAATCCAACAATCAATATCCAGTTGTCCTCTTGCTGGACCCATCAGTAGCATTTGGCACAACTGATCACTCCCTTCTCCTTGAGTTCTTTTTTTAGTTTGGTGTTTAAAACATGGTTCACTTCGGGGCACCTGGGTGGCTCAGTCGTTAAGCGGCTGCCTTCGGCTCAGGTCATGGTCCCAGGGTCCTGGGATCGAGCCCTGCATCGGGCTCCCTGCTCGGCGGGAAGCCTGCTTCTCCCTCTCCCACTCCCCCTGCTTGTGTTCCCTCTCTCGCTGTGTCTCTCTCTGTCAAATAAATAAATAAAATCTTAAAAAAAAAAAAAAAAAAGTTCACTCCCAGAGTGCCTGGGTGGCTCAGTTGGTTAAGTGTCTGCCTTCGGCTCTGGTCATGAACCCAGGATCCTGGGGTCAAGCCCTGCATCGGGATCCCTTTTCAGAGGACAGCCTACTTCTCCCTCTCCCTCTGTCATTTCCCCTGCTTATGCCTACATACATACGTACATACGTACATACATAAATACATAAATTCTTTAAGCAAAAACATGGTTCGCTTCCTAGTTCAATTCCTACTCATTCTCCATCTCTTTTGCTGGGTCCTTCCAACCTTGAAACACTGAGGTATAGGAAGGCTCTACCCTCAAACTTCTCTTCTCTGACTACACTCACACCTTAGGTGACCTCTAGTCTGCTAGAGGACTCCATGTTGAAAGTTCCCAAATTTAAATCTCCGGTCCAGATCTCTGCCTGAATTTTTAACTCCCTACTTAACCAAATAATCAAAATTTTCTAAACAAGGAGTAGACAAAACAAAATATATCCCAAAACACCTTTTCCAACAAGTAAAGTCTAAGAAAACTTTTCCAACAAGAAGACTAAGAAAGACTGGGAGGAGACTAAGGAGACATGATGACTAATTGCAACGTGGTATCCTGGACTGGATCCTGGAACAAAAAAAGGGTGGTAGTGGAAAAAATGGCAAAATCCAAATAAAGTCTACAGTTTAGTTTATACCAGTGTTAATTTCTTGGTTTTGACCAAGGACCAGAGTTAGTTATGTAAGATATTAACATCAGACAAAGCTGGGTGAAGGATATATGGGAATTCCCTGTACTATCTTTGTAACTTTCTATAAATCCAAAATTATCTCAAACTAAAAAGTTTTCAAAACAAACAACACCTTTTCCTCTCCCAGGTTTTACCACTTCAGTACCTGGCAATTCTACTTTTTTTAAAGATTTTATTTTTTAAATAGTCTCTATAGCTAATGTGGGACTTGAACCTACAACCCAGAGATCAAGAGTTGCATGCTCCACCGACTGAGCCAGCCAGGTACCCCAGCAATTCTAATTTTACATTACTCAGGCACAAAAGCCTTGGCTTGGTCCTTGAACCCTCTCATTCTCTTGCAGCCAACATCTAGTCTATCTCCAAATCCTGAGTTTTATCTTCCAAATATATCCAAAGTCTAACACTCTTACCTCTTCCAACACTACTATCCTAGTCCAAGTCTCCATCATCAACTATGTGAATTACTGCAACAGCCTCCTAACTTGTCCCCTTGCTTACTTAGAGCCAATTCTCCACAGAGCAGGCTGAGTGATCGTTTTAGAATGTTAGTAGGATTATGTCATCCCTTTTCCCCAAAACCTCCAGCTGCTTCTCATCATCTTAATCAGAACCAAGTCCAAGGGCCTCACATGATCCAGCCCCTGTGATTTCTCTGATATCCTCTACTGCCCGCCTCTTCCGTTGCTCACAATGTCCCCCTCCCACCTGAATCTAAACTTGCTTCTCCCTCTGTTTGGAATAACTCTTCAAGAGAGCCACATGGTGCACTTCTGCATTTCCTCTGGTCTCTATTCAAGTGTCTCATCAAACAGAACAGACCAACCTAGCTAAACAAGTGCCCCTGTTACTCTGTCCTTTTAACCTGCTTTGTATTTCTCTTTAGTCCTTACTCACCACCTAACATATTAAATATTGGTTTAAGTGCTTTCTGCCTGCCTTCCCTACCAGAATGTGAATCTCACCAATACTGTACTCCCAGTGCTGAGAACAGTGCTTGTACACAGTATTTATTCAATAAATATGAATAAAATGTTCTCAAAAATATGTGGGGATGTGAGGCCAAGAGAGATCTGTTAGGTAGAATTCTAAGATGGCCTCTAAAATTCCCACATGCATACAGGTGTGTGTACCCTGTATAATCTTCCCTTGCGTATGGGTGGGGCTGATCTAATCAGGCGAACCCTTTAAAAACAGTTTAGGGATCAAAGAAGTCAGAGAGATCTGAACAATCTGTAGCACATATTTTCCTAGAGACCTTGAAAAAGGAAAGTACCATGTTGTGTAGAGGGCCATGTGGTAGGGTATTGCAGGTAACCTCTAAGAGCTGCGAGTGCTCCCCAGCCAATAGCCAGCACGGATATGGAAGACCTCATTCTACACCCATAAGGAACTAAATCCTACCAAAAACCAGTGAGCATGGAAGAGAATCCTATGTCTCAGAGGAGATTGCCTCCCTGGCCAAATTCTAGTCCTCTGAAGCTCTGAGTAGAGAACTAACCCATAACCAGACTCCTGACCCAAAGAAACTGTGATATAATAAACTTGTGCTATTCTAAGCCACTACATTTGTGGTAATTTGTTATGAAGCAAAAGGAAACTATTAACCAGCCTTAAGAATTCAAGAACAACCCTAGTATAACATTACCTTGGTTCACATACAAGCTGAGGTCCCAAGAGGAAGAACTGCCTAGTGAAGCAAATGAGAACTGGAAGAACTATAAGCCAGTGTAAAAACAGGCCTGGGCAGGAGGTGACTTCACGTGTTAGGCTGGGCTATGTACATTAAACTGGAAGGAGACCAGATGGTGAAGGTCCATGAGGAAGAGCTACCGGAAGGAAGCTGTTCACCCTAGATGAAACATATACCCAGGGCAAAATGAGAAATGTCTTCAAATGCCGCAATAAAGTTGATTTGCGATGAGGGGGAGGGAAACTGTGAGGAGAGAGACTGGTTGCTGTGTTGCTTCAGAGGGCAGAACTTGAACCAGGGTATAGAAAGTATTTATTGGAAAGAAGTTTTCAGTTCAATGGACGGAAGAACTTTCCAACAGAGCTGAGTACCTATTTATGTTCTAAGAGCTATGATAAGCAAGAGGGATATGAAAATGAAGAAAGAGGGGTGCTTGGGTGCTCAGTTGGTTAAGTGTGGGACTCTTGATTTTGGTTCATGTCATGATCTTGGGGTCATGAGATCGAGCCCCACACTGGACTCTGTGCTCAGCAGGGAGTCTGCTTGAGATTCTCTCTCTACCGCTCTCTGTCCCTCCCCACCACTGTGCACACATGCATGCTCTCTCTCTCTCCTCTCTCAAATGAATAAATTAAACCTTTACAAAAAATGAAAAAAGATAATAGTTTCTGCTTCCGAGGAGCTTACAGACTAGTGGAGGGCACCGACACATAAATGATGATGGCTTCCAGTGGTAACTGCTCTAACTGAAACATGTGTATGTAAGGGAAAGAAGTATCACAGGGCAAGAAAAGATTAATGCCATCTGTAATGGTGAGAACAGGTGTCCTGGACATGTCGCTAAACTAGCTATTGAAAAATGAGTAAGAATTCATTAGTGAATGTAGTGGTAGACATTCTAAACTTTTTTTTTTTAATTTTTTTAAAAAGATTTTATTTATTTATTTAAGAGATGCGAGTATTCTTGCAGCGCCACAAGAGAGACGAGAGACAGAATGAGAGACAGAGAGCATGAGAGGGAGGAGGGTCAGAGGGAGAAGCAGACTCCCTGCCGAGCAGGGAGCCCGATGCGGGACTCGATCCCGGGACTCCAGGATCATGACCTGAGCTGAAGGCAGTCGCTTAACCAACTGAGCCACCCAGGCGCCCCAGTGGTAGACATTCTAGACAAAGAGAGCCACATACGCAACAGCAGGGAAAGATGAAATGGCACAGAGTACAGAGAATAAAATGTGGTGAGGGACTGAAGCAGCATAAGGTGGAGTGGCCAGGTAAGGAAGAACCCAGAATCTGTATGTGGTGAGAAATGAACAGGGGAGGGGCGCCTGGGTGGCTCAGTCGTTAAGCGTCTGCCTTCGGCTCAGGTCATGATCCCGGGGTCCTAGGATCGAGCCCACATCGGGCTCCCTGCTCCGTGGGAAGACTGCTTCTCCCTCTCCCACTCCCCCTGCTTGTGTTCCCTCTCTCACTGTCTCTCTCTCTGTCAAATAAATAAATAAATAAACAGGGGAGCTACACAGTTCAATGTGTATTTTAGAAAGATCACTCTCTGACGCTAGTGTGACAGCTGGACTGAGAGAGAGAAAGTGAAGATGGCAAGAGTGGTCAGTACCTCTTGCAGATAAGCAGACAAGAGATGATGCAGGCTGGAACGAAGAGAGGGAGTGGAGATGTTATCATCCCCTACTTGTGCTTTCAAGATTAAAAAAAAAAAAAAATCTTGTAACCAAACATCTGTAAGACCTATATCTGCATTTTAAAAAACACTTACTAAATTCATTGTTTGTTAAGAAAAGAAGTTCCCTATTTGTATTTGCTTATGACATATAAAAACTAAGTAAGTGGCTATCTACTGGGGAGGGAAGCAAGTGGTGGCAGGACCCAGGCAGATGATGAATAAGGACAGAGAGAAATGTTTCACTGTGTACCTTTTTATACTTTCTGGTTCCTGAACTCTGTGTATTATCTATTAAAAAACAAAACAAAACAAAACAAAACACTTCTACCCTCTAGGTAGATTTACCTGTGTGTGTTTCCGCATTCTTTAGCACGTGGTTCTGTTTGCCTCGGGGGAAAGATGTTACTTGAGGCTCCTGCCTCCTTACAGCACATTTCTCTGGGTCAACCCTTCTGGAAGACTTGTTGACGACTGCCAAGTTCCCATTGTCACAGGCAGATTTTGCTGGTCTTTCATTAGGATTATCCTTTGGAATGGGGGCCATGTTGTTTCTGGGTCCGGCATTTGTATGTCGTTGGCCCTCTTGTTTTGGTGGATTCCTGCCTGGTCGTGGCCTGGCCCCTTCCACTTCCCAGGGAGGCCTTTTCTGTGGGTATCTTCTTTGCTCATTGCGTTTGGCCGCATACCCATCCAATATTCCTTTCTTAAAGGATGTATCCAAAGAGTCAGGGTGGATAACCCCCACAGGTTTGGTATTTTCAGGTCCAGCATCCTCGGATTTTGGAGTCATTCTGTTACCCCACTCACATTTGAGTTTTCCCTTGACTTTTGGTCCTCTACCATAGCCGTACACAAACTGGGCTGCTTTTTTGGGTTTTGCTCCCCTGGGATCTGCACCAACAATTTCCTTCTCATTCTCAGAAGGGCTGTGTTCTCTGGGGTTTGTCCCACTCTCCGACCTTGCCACACTTTCTAAGCCAGCTGCATCTGAGGTCTGGTCAGTGAGATTCTGTACTTTCTTGACTTTGATATGCTGCTTTTCACTCCTCAATTTCTGCCAAGGTTGATTCTGAAGGCCATGGCTCTTGAGTGATTTGTTAGAAGCAGAGGACTGAAAAGAAATCTGTTGACTTTTAGGTTTGCCTCCCAAAGGATAACTGTGCTGATGAACAGCAGAGATGTCATCATAAGGGACTTGCCTGGAAAGGTGACAGGGAGGTGGTGAACTATAATTTCTTCTATCAATCCTATTAGAATCTAGTCTCCTTTGACTCCCACAATTTAGACCAGAATTTTTTCTCTCCTGAGGAATAAACTCAGCAGCATCCGTATTGAATTTAAAAGTACCTAGGACATAAGAAAATAGACATGCCAGTGAAGAAATTAATCCTCACCCATGAAGCCCAGAAGACTCTAAGCCATAATCTAAATATTATTTTCCTAAGGACTTGTATAAAACAGGCTCTTAGTGAGGCCTATGTTTCCTGTGAATGTGATGGGTTCAAGGTGCTTGTGGAACACTGACCATTTCATGTCCAGTAACCTCACCAATAGCCACTGCTAAGAACTACTAAGTAAAACTCCTCACCTGGGTGATTAAGCATTATTATTATTATTATTTATTTTTTTAAATATAAGCTCCACGCTCTATATAGGGCTTGAAATCACAGCCCCAAGATTGAGAGTCCCATGCTGTGCCTCCTGAGCCAGCCAGGCATCCTAATCAGGCATTATTTATACATGCACTTATTTTATCAAAAAATTTTAGGTCAGCAAACAATTCTGAGGTGAGAATCAATCAGCAGGTTCCATGTGGTCTTTCAAAACTCTTAAGGTAGCACTGTGTAATATCAAGTAAACAGGTTTTGGAGTCAGCCAGAATCAGTTTGAAGTCTGGCCCTCCAATTTATGGTATGAGCCTAGGGATATCACTTGATTGCTTTTAGCCTTCATTCTCTCATCCATGACAAAAGATGATACTATTTCAAAGGGCTACTGTGAAATTTAATTAAGATTTCATACAGATAAACTTAATGAGTACATTAGTTCCCATCTCTTCCCCCCACCCAGGAATATACTTTAGGTTTTCCATATGTAACCTTTATAATATAGTCCAGAATCTGAGTCTCAAAAATTAAGCATATGCCTCTTCAACCCACTCATTTTCCCCCCCAATGTGCTTCTTTGTTCCTGAAGCCCAAAGACTAAATGATTTGCCTAAGGATACAAAACTAATTAGTAGGAAAGTCAGAATTATGTGTAGCATATGGATTATACAGTTGACCTTTAAACAACACAAGTTTTAAACTACACAAGTCCACTGATATGTGAATTTTTTACAGTACAGTAAACATATTTTCTCTTCCTCATGATTTTCCTGATAACATTTTCTTTACTCTAGCTTACTTTATTTTTAAGAGTCCAGTATATAATACATATATCATGCAAAATATGTGTTAATCGACTGTTTATGTTACTGGTTAGGTTTCCGGTCAACAGTAGGCTGTTAGTAGTTAAGTTTCTGGGGAATCATAAGTTATACGTGGATTTTCCACTGTGCGGGGGATTGGCATCCTTAACCACATGATATTTAACAGTCAACTGTACTATGAATCAATAGGGCTTGGAAGACATGGGTTTATGTCCCTGCACATCACTTGTGTCTTTATGCAAATGACTTAACCCCAATTTTCTTATAAGGAATGGAGAAAGTAACAATCCCTACATCAAAGAGTTGCTATGAAGAATAAAGCAAGTTAGTAACATATATAAAGTGGTTAAAATGGTGCTTTATTTTTGCTGTTAGGACTACAGACTATCTAAAACACACAGACCTGACCTCAGATGGGTGCAGTGTAGAGCCTGTCGGTTTCAGGTTTAATAATAAACGCTAACATTTATTAGGTAATTAGCAAGTGCCAGGCACTATTCTAAACACTTTGCATCTGTTAACTCATTTAATCCTTACATTCCTGATGAGAAAGCTGAGACACTGAGAAAGTTACTTGCCAAAGGCCACAGAGGTGTTGCAAAGCAGACTCAGGATTCCACCCCAGGCTATATGGCCCTAAAAACCACACTCTTACACTGCACTGTCAGAGGCTGGGCAGTGGGTACCACAGAAACATGTACTCAAGAACTGAATGAGATCATAAAGGTCATAGGGTAACCTCTCACTCAATCCAGGATCTGTCCTGAAAGTTTTCACACAAGCAATTCTGGGGATGGGGCGGAAAGCCTTACAAAACAAAGAGGATTAGACAGATTCAGAAGGTGGCAAAGGAGATGTTCCAGAAACATACGAAAGAACACAAAGGTGGGAATGGGTAGATTAGACCGAGTGGGTGTTGTAAAGTCCTCTCCTTCTTGAAGAAACAAAGTTGGAGAGGGGCAGAAGAAAAGTCAGTAAAGTCCAGAATAGCCTGGTAAAGGATGGGAAGAAGGTGTTCCATGTTCAGCAAGCAGTAAGGAGTTGATCAACTAGAGAGTCTAGACAGGGCCTCACCTATTCATATACAGTATGGTTCCATTAGACATGAGGTAGGTAATGCCCTCAGAAAGATCCTTGAGAGGTAGGAGGAAGGGAAAAAGGGTACATGAATCAGGAATCTGCATCTGAGACACCACCCCCTTTTCTCTTTAGTATTTTAAGTAGCTAGAAGTTACTCAGTAAATAGGATACAAGTGATAGATCGAAGATAACATAGCAGCATAGTAAGTGTCCAACAGGTGAGTGGAGAAGAATAAGGGGAAATCCATGAGATTATGAAGTCTAGAAATAAAGCTGGCATTGGAGAGTCTGCCCATGGGCAGGAAGATATCCCTGAACCTGTCTGCTATTGAGGACAGGAATGGGCAAGAGAACTAAACCCTGAGTGGAGATGGAGGTGTGGGCTAAAGATGCTGCTGAAATAAGAGTACGGAATGGGAACCAAAGCAAAAAAAAACTAAGGAACGAGAGAGGGACTGGAAAGGTCTCTGGACTAGGGAACTTTGCCGGAATAGATGGGGAGGAGGTTGGAACCTGGGGAACAAAGGAGGCCAAAACTGTAACTCACAACTGGCCTCACCCAATCCTGCCTCAAACACTGAAGGGTGTAGAAATGGGCCAGAAGTGAGCCTGAGGATGGGAAGATCAATGGATTCAGTTTAGAGGATCTGGGGGAAAAAATGGGTGGGAGAATAACAAAACACCGAACTAACCTAAAAAGGTTCCTATCCCACAAGATTTAAAACCTAAATCAGGACTAGGGTTTGGAAAATGCAACTTTTTTGACCAAGACCCACAGTAACAAGTACATTTTAGCTGCCACCCAGTACACAAACATACACTCTTCTTGGTGCCCCAACACTGGTAAGTGGCAGAACTAAGACTCAAATCAATGACTGTTTACAAATCACATGCTGCAAACTGCTGTCCTATTTTTCAGAAAGAGTGGGTCCTGAAATCAAATCAACGTAGTGGGTTGTGACAAGTATTTTTTCAAAGAAAACAGAAAATAAGAGTGTACTACAATTAGTAAGGAAAAGCATTACGTCTTAAAACTTTTGGTTCTTTTTTATATTTACACACGTGTGCACTGAGTCAGATGTAAAATGTTTCTTTTTGGTCTCTGCCCAAAAAGTTTGGAGAACAAAGACCTAAAGTACCCCCTGAAGGAAATGGAAATGGATGCCACATTAACAGCCAAATGAAGCTGTTTTACACATAGAACCAACTCCAAGAGAAGTGGGCTAACAATTATAGAACAGGTACCGTACAGGGTGAGAGCTTTCACAGGAATTAACTTAATTACCCCCAACCGATGGATGAGGAAACAGACTCTGTCACATTGCGAGTTTGTGGCAGTCTGAGAATGGAAACCACTGATGTTCGGCTCGCGCTCGCTCCTCTGCCCCAGGACGCGCCAACCCGCCACGCATCGAGAGCCCGTCACCGTCACGGGCGGTGACTCGGCCGACGCCCGCCTGCTGGAGATCAGTGCGGCCTCTGCACTAGCAGGGCCGGGCTGAAGGCGTGACGTACCGCAGCAGGCGAGACGCCCACATCGATTCACTGGGCGCCGGGACAATCCCGCTGTCCCTGGAAACCGGGGTTTCACAACCCAATGGAGGACGGTCGAGGTCTCGGTACCCACGACGCGCGTGGCTTGGCCCTTCCGAGCCACTATCCCGAGCCCTAGTACGCGCCGCTCTCGCGATATGAATGGCCGGAGCCCTAGGACTCGCCACTGACCCAATTTCCGCTCCCCGAGGGGGGCCCAGTCCCGCACCGGCCGGGAGAGTACCTGAGACAGGAGGCGCCTCCGCCATCCCGTGCCAACACCTAAAACGAGCCCGGCAACCTAGAGAGGGCTGTCACCCGGTCACGTGCCTTTGACTTCCGGCGCCGCAAGAATACTCGCATCTGCGCGCCGGGGGGACGGCCACGGAGGTTGCGCGGCCTAAGTGAACTGTGCGGTGCGTCCGTGACGTCAGACACAAGCGCCAGGCGCCGGCCTGGAGGAGGAGACTAGAGGCTGGCTGTAGGTGGGGCTAGGGTCACGTTCGTGCGCCGGTTGGAATGTGCGGTGTCATTGTTTTTCGTTTTGGGACTCACGGTGTTCTCTTGCTACTATGCCCTTTTGTCCGGGCACCCAACCAACTTCACCTGGCCTTCCGCAGTTAACTCAGAGGTCACCTTCTACCTAGAGTAGTTTGGCTTTGGGGTTAAAAAGCAACGAAAAAAACCCTAAGTAGTCAAAAGGGAACCTGAGGGAAAATACGCGTTAAAAAAAAAAAAAGATAAAGGGCTAATACACCGAGAACGCTTACAAATCAGAAAATGGTAAGCCAAAACCAAACCAAAAACCCCAGAAAAAAACCCGATTAACCATATATTAGAAATGGTAAAGGGGCGCCTGGGTAGCTCAGTTGGTTAAGTGACTGCCTTCGGCTCAGGTCATGATCCCAGGGTTCCGGGATCGAGCCCCACATCGGGCTCCCTGCTCAGCAGGGCGTCTCCTCCCTCGGACCCTCCTCCCTCTCATGCTCTCTCTCTCAAAATCTTTAAAAAAAAAAAAAAAGGAATGGTAAAGGACTTGAATGGGCAGATGACAGTAAAATATAGATGGATACTGAACGGAAGGGGGAAAGTTTGGAAGCACCAATAATTTTTAAAGTAACAAAATTTTAGGGACGCCTGGGTGGCTCAGTCGTTAAAGCGCCCGTGACGGTGACGGGCTCTCGATGCGTGGCGGGTTGGCGCGTCCTGGGGCAGAGGAGCGAGCGCGAGCCGAACATCGGTGGTTTCCATTCTCAGACTGCCACGAACTCGCAATGTGACAGAGTCTGTTTCCTCATCCATCAGTTAGGGGTAAATAAGTTAATTCCTTCAGTTCAGGTCATGATCCCAGGGTGCTGCGTGTGGCTCCCTGCACAGCGGGGGAGTCTGCTTCTCCCTCTCCCTCTGCTCCTTCCTCCTGCTCATGTTCTCTCTCTCTCTTTTTAAAGATTTTATTTATTTGACAGATAGAGACACAGCGAGAGAGGGAACACAAACAGGGGGAGTAGGAGAGGGAGAAGCAGGCTTCCCGCCGAGCAGGGAGCCCGATGCGGGGCTCGATCCCAGGACCCTGGGATCATGACCTGAGCCACCCAGGCGCCCCTCTCTCTCTCTTAAATAAAATCTTTAAAAAATAAAGTAACAAAATTTTAAATGGATGTATGGAGTTTGTTTTGTTATTGCATTACTAAATAGAACACATTTAACCCTGAAGCATGTGCATTTGTAACCTAATTCACTGGTCCAGCCTTCCCCCAAAACACGAAATAGATTCATTTATTCACATGCGTTTTAATGCATACTCTTAGGCATTGCTCTAAGTGCTGGAAGTAAATGGTGAAAAAGACAAACATGGTCCCCACGCTCATGAATTGCATTGTCTAGTAGAGGAGATTAAAAACTTACATTTACAAATTAATAATTTTTAAATAATTTCAAATTATGTTAGCATTAGGAAAGAAAGAAGCAGGGTAACAGTGATACTTAATAGGGTTTGCTCCAGAGAAGATGGCCAGGCTTCCTTGAGTAGAAGGAAAGATGAGAAAAAGCTAACTATATGAAGATTCAGAGAGAAGGAATAGTAATGTGCAAAGGCTATGAGGAAGGAAAGACCTTGAAGTAGTCAAGGTGTTAAAATATCTGCTGGACAATAGTGAGAAAGGAGAGTGGCACAGTATGAAATTGAAGAGGTAGGTAAGGAGATCACACAAATCACCTGCAGGCCATGATAATGGATTTTATTCCAAGAGTAGTAGGAAGATATTGAAGGGTTCTAAGCAAACAAGTGGTAGGTATCTGATCTACACGTAAAAGATTTCTCCTCTGCCCAAAGGAAGAATGAATTGTGGGGAACAAGAATAGAAGTGGGCAGAGCAGTTACATTTTTGTATTAGGCTAATGCAGATGATGGTGGCCTTGGGCTAGAGTGACAGCAAATGAGAGGGAGAGAAGAGGACAGATATGAGGTATATTTGAGATATAATCAGTGGCCAGCTTCTAAACTTTTTCCATGCCAACAGGTGTGATATGATATCTCATCACACAACAGGTGTGATGTTTTAACTAATTTTCATTCCTCTGATTACTAATGAGTCTGAACATTTCTTTCTTTCTTTTTTTTTTTTAAAGATTTTATTTGTTTGAGAGAGAGAGAATGAGAGACAGAGAGCACGAGAGGGAAAAGGGCAGAGGGGGAAGCAGACCCCCCGCCGAGCAGGGAGCCCGATGTGGGACTCAATCCCGGGACTCCAGGATCATGACCGGAGCAGAAGGCAGACGCCCAACGACTGAGCCACCCAGGCGCCCCTATTATTTCTTTTAAAGTAATCTCTACACCCAACACAGGGCTTGAACTCATAACCCCAAGATCAAGAGTCACACACTCTACCAACTGAGCCAGCTAGGCACTCCAAGTCTGAACATTTCTTAATGACCTTTTGAGTTTCTTCTTTTTGAACTGCTTATTCACACCCATTGCCTATTTTTTTCTATTGGGGTTGCTCTATTTTTCTTGCTTATGGTTTCTTGTATATTGCAGATATCAATTCCTTGTCAGCTTTATACATTTCAATTGTCTTCTTTTCTTCCATGGTCTATTTTGTCCTTTATCGAACATAAATCCTTAATTTGGACAGATCAGTTCATCAAACCAACCAACCAACCATACAGTCACCTTTCGAAATTACCAGATATATCAGTCTGGGTTCAATCAGGAGAAAGGAACCACACAGTCATTTGAATAGAGAAGATTTTATTTATTTAAAGACTTATTAACTATAACAGAGCATTGGAGTAATAAGGGGATTGACTAATAAAGAAGTAAAAAGAACTCTAAAATAAAATAGGATTAGCAATATAAGGAACAGCCACTACCTCTAGGGTTGAGATAAACTGTCTAATGAAGATCACCCCAGAGCTGACGTGCAGACCTTGTCAGACAGGATGTGCCCGTGGCTCACTAGATGGCAGGGAAGTGGCTGTGGTGCTGCGATAGCAGAAGTTACCAGAAATCTACCTTGTACGGTACTGGGGAAAGTCATTTGTGGGGAGGTGTCTCAGAAGAGGCACTCTACTACAAACCACCTGAGGGGGTGCCAAGAGAAGTTTCTGGCTGTTAGCTACCATAAACTGAAAAGGCCACGTGCTGAAGAAGCCCTGTACTTTGCTTGAGCCAAACACTGGAGAAGCCGCGCACAGCACAAAAGCCTGACTAACTGAAACACCAACAGGAAACAAAACCTTTTCCTCCTGCAATATCTCTCTGGTGCCCTCTACTGACACATCTTAATATCTGCCAGCTGATAAAGGATCTATTTAAAAGGGTGCAAATCATTTCACAGAGCAGGCAAAAAGGATAAATTTGGAACTGAATGGCATACTAGGGAATCTTCTCATTATTTTCAAAGCTTATAAAAAAGGTAAGTAAGCAAACATCTATCCTGCCTTTTCTATACAAACGGTACTTCATACAACATACCAAAACTTACGACATACTTGCATTAAAAAAGAAGTGCCGGGACTCCCCGGCGCCGGAATTTCCGGCTGGCGCCACCACTTTGGCTTCCCGACCTTGGGCTACTACTGCTGGTCACTGTCTGCAGCCTCTCCGTGCGGTCATGTCTGTGCCTATACCGCAGCTGCTGAGGGGCCTCACAGGCTTCACCCCGTGGCTCCCGGTGCAGCATGCCCAGATCCATTCCAAGCCACCGCCAGAGGGGCTCGGGACCATGGATGACTCCATTGGGCTCACCTCCTGCTTCCTGTTTCCTCCTGCCATCAGGCTGGGTCCTGTCACATCTGGAGTGCTACAAGAAACGGGAGTGAAGGGGGCTGTCCTGTCCCTCACCCTGTGACCTGACCACCCCTGGCCTCTCCTGATCATGTCTGCTGCATTCCTGAATGGCCTTCCCAGGATCGTGTCCTTCAATTACCTCTTCTGCAATCATGACCTCTCGATTTCTCCTTGGTGACATCCTCAGACCACATATATTGGTGTATAAGGCCCTACTCGGTAAGGCCCTCCTTATAAAAATAAAGTCTATTTAAATCTTTAAAAAAAAAAAAAAGTCCAGAGGTGCCTGGGTGGCTCAGTCGCTTAAGCGTCCAGCTCTTGATTTCAGCTCAGGTCATGATCTCAGGGTTGTGAGACTGAGCTGGGCATCCGGTTCCACTCTCAGCAGGAAGTCTGCTTAAGATTCCCTCTCCCTCTCCCTCTGCATCCCCCCTCCATAATAAATAAATAGGTCTTTAAAAAAATAAAAATAAAAATAAATAAAAAGTCCAGACACTGTAATATTCGCTAAGAAGAAATGAGCTGTCAAGCCATGAATAACACATGGAGGAAACATAAATGCATATTACTAAATGAAAGAAACCAATCTGAAAAGGCTATATTATATATGATTCCAACTATATGACATTCTGGAAAAGGCAAAACTATGGTTATGGTAAAAAGATCAGTGGTTGCCAGGGCTCAGGGGGAAGGAAAGGATGAATGGGCAGAGCACAGAGGACTTTTAGGGCAGTGAAACTATTCTTTATGATACAATGATGGTTACATTATCTAAATCCATAGAAAGTACACCAAAAGTAAACTCTATGTAAACTATGGACTTTGGGTGATAATAAGGTGTCAGTGTAGGCTCATGGATTGTAACAAATGTACCACTGTGGTGTGGGATGTCTATAATGGGGGAGGTTGTGCATGTGTGGGGACAGGGCATACATGAGAATTCTTCGTACTTTCTGCTCAAATCTGTTGTGATTCAAAACTGCTCTGAAAAATAAAGTTTATTAATTAAAAAAAAGATCTCAAATCAACAGCTTAACCTTCTACCTTAAGAAACTAGAAAAAGAGCAAACTAAACTAAAACAAGTAGAAGGAAGGAAACAATAAAGGTTAGAACAGAAATAAAAATAGAAAACAACAAAACAAAGTAGTTCACTAAATAAAAAGAACAAAATTGACTAACTTTTAGCTAGACTGACAAGAAAAAAAAAGAAAAACTCAAATTATTAAAATTAGGAATCAAAGAGGGGACATTATTATTGACCTTAAAGAAATAAGAATTATAAGGGAATCCTATGGACAACTTTATGCTAACAAATTAGATCACCTAGATGACATGGACAAATTCCTAGAAACACACAAACTACCAAAACGGACTCAAGAAAAATAGAAAAATCTGAATAGACTTATAGCAAGTAAAGAGATTTAATTAATAATAAAAAAGCTTCCCACAAAGCCCAGGCCCAGATGGCTTCACTGGTAAATTCTACCATATATTCAAAGAATTGACACCAATCCTTCACAAACTCACCCTAAAAATAGAAGAGGAGGGAATATGTCCCAACTCATTCTCTGGATGAAAACTGCCTTAGGGCAATCACTGCCTAGCTCTCCATTTGTAGAAATTGATGGCAACAGCCCAGACTGCTTGTCCATGAGAATGGAGTCAAACTGATCAGGCATCCTAGGGCAGTGGTTCTTAATTCTGGCTACATATAAACTACCTGGGGAGCTTTTAAAAATCCAAGTGCTCACACCATATTCAGATCTATTATATTAGAATCTATGGGGGGTAGGAAAATATAAAAGGAAAGCTATGGGAGATGAATAGAGGTTGAAGTGCCAAGCTTTTACTCTCTTACTGGATCTGATCTCCTCCACCCTTGCTAAACTGCTGGAGCTGACAGATTACAACTCAAGGAGACCACCTGCACTCAACTCTGCTTCAGAGATGCTGACTGGTGGCAGCTATAGGAGTGATCATCAAAGACTATGCTGTGCCTGGGACTGACTCTATCACAGGACTCATCTTCTCCACTTTCCTTAAATTCACTAAGATTGACATAGACCAAGGCCTGGCCTTTGGTCTTTTCTGAGTACAGCAAGAATTAGCAGAATGATAAAGGTGTTAAGGAATCTCCAGGGAAAGGTATGGTCAGAAGCAGGGAATCATGACTTTATGGTGGAAATGGGGGAACTGGAAGCAATCATTGCAGCCTAACAATGAAAAGTGGGATATAGCACAGAGAGAGGCTGCAGAGAAATTTTGGGGACTTTTATTGGCAAGTGACAAGAACCCAATTTCAACTAGTTTAAGCAGAAAAGGGGGTTTGCTGGCAGAATTCTCAGAGAGTTCACAGAATTAAAGGAAGAGTTGCAGAGACTTGGAGCACTCTGGGGGTCTCAAAGATCAGAAGTCAGGCCTCAGTGCCATGAGGATTCTTTCATTCGGCCTCTCGTCTTGTTTCCTCTCTGGCCTCAACATCTCAAGCTTCTCATACTGACAAAGACTTTGGGAGAGTAGGGGAAGAAAGTATTTCCCCTAAGTTTCCATTTAGAAAATTCAAAGGAAGAACTTCCAACAGGCACAGCCTGGTCACAAGCCCACTCTCATAGCTTGGAAGAATAAGGGTAGGGCTACTCTAATTGGTATTTTTGCAATAATCATATGGTTATATTGGGGGAGGCAGTTCTGTAAAAGAAAGAAAATGTTGGGGCGCCTGGGTGGCTCAGATGGTTAAGCGTCTGCCTTCGGCTCAGGTCATGATCCCAGGGTCCTGGGATCGAGTCCCGCATCGGGCTCTCTGCTCCTTGGGAGCCTGCTTCTCCCTCTGCCTCTCTCTCTCTCTGTCTCTCATGAATAAATAAATAAAAATCTTAAAAAAAAAAAAAAAGAAAGAAAGAAAATGTTGGGGCACCTGGCTGGCTCACTGAAAAGAGCATGTAACTTTTGATCTCAGGGTCATGAGTTTGAGCCCCCCACTGGGGGCAGAGACTCCTTAAATGAATAAATAAAAACTTAAAAAGAAAATTTCTCCATCTTAAAAAAAAAAAAAGAAGTGAAGTTTTTTTTTTTTTAAGATTTATTCATGAGACAGAGAGAATGAATGGGGGGGGTGGCAGAGGGAGAGAACATCCAAGTAGACTCCCACTGAGCATGGAGCCCGATGTGGGGCTCAATCCCGAAACCCTGAGATCATGAACTGAGCTGAAACCAAGAGTTGGATGCCCAACTAACTGAGCCACCCAGGCGCCCCCCCCTTTTTTTAAGATTTTATTTTTTAAGTAATCTCTACACCAAACATAGGCTCAAACTTACAAACCCAAGATCAAGAGTCACATGCTTTACTGACTGAACCAGCCAGGTACCCCAAAGAATGTTGTTCTGAAAAGACTAAGCAATAAAACATTACAGAGAGGTAGAGGCCAAGTCACAGGCAGCTTTGTATGTCTTACTGGAGGTGTCAGGGAACCATAAAAGACTTTAAGTAGTGATTAGGTCAAATTTGTATTTTAGAAAGATAAATATAGCTGTATGTGATGAATGGGCTCAAGGAAGTCAAACTATGCATGAAGAGAAAGCAAGTCATTAATTCCAAAATACACTTAGAGTTAAAAGCAGTGTTTGATGATTAATTGAATGTGTAGGGTGAGGCAAAATGTAGGCATCAAGGATAACTCAAGAGCTTTCTGTTTTGAATGATGGAGGATAATGGTTCCATTAGCTGAGACAGGGAAAACAGGAGACTCAGGTCTGAGGGAAAGATAATGGTTGTCTTGGCCATTTGAATATCAAGTGTTTGCTGGCTTTGGGAACATCCAAATAATTGCTAGGCAAACAGCTGCATGTGAATAGGATTCTGAAACTCTGGGGCAAGATCTGGGATAGAAGTATAGATTTAGAAGTCAGCAGTTAAAGCCATGAGAATAGTTGAGCTCAGTAAATATAAATCATCAGAGAAAGAAGTATGGTAGATAAAGGTTAGAATCCTGAGGAGCACCAACATTACAGAGTTGGAGAGATGAGGATTTCAGATGGGAGTCTTAGAGAAAATAGGAGTAACAGGAAAACCAGAGTGTGTTGTCACAAAAACCAAGGCAGAAATTTTGTTAGAATGATTGCTCACTGGTATCCAATGCACTAAAGAGGTCTGGTTGGAGGACAAAGTATCACCCATTAAAATTGGCAATATAAGGGACACTGATAACATTGGCAAGATAAGAAATAGAGCAGGAATGTTTGCCAAGAGTGAATCCCAAAATAATAAGCTTAATTTGGATGTCAGATTTTAGGTAATGGTGGGACATTTAATTAGGAATGCCCAGGACTGAAAAGAAGAATGAAGAAAGAGGTCTAGGCTAGTGACAGTTATTTTGAATCCTTAGTGCACAGGTAATACTTAAAATCTTGGGTGTGATATATTTCAAGAATATATCTTTTGATATATCTCAAATCCAAGATTGAAACTGTAGTGGAAGAAATATTTAAAGAGCTGAGTGAGAAATTATAGAGAAGCCAAGGACAGCTTCAAGAAGGTAATGATGAATAGCACAATGTTCAACCCCATTGGAAGGTTTCTTGAGAGGGTGAGATTAGTCCCCACTTATGGATCATTAAAGACTCTGAAATTGGGCAGGAATTTGGACTGGCTGTAGCACTTCTGGCACCTTCCAAGAAAAGAATGAAGCTCCTATTTTTGTTGTTGTTAACAGCCCTCATATGAGAATAGCAAGTTGCAAAGTATAGTTAACACTTGAACAATGTGGGGTATAGGGCACAGTTGAAAATCTGCATATAAATTTTAACTCCCCCCAAACTATACCAATAGCCTACTGTTGACCAAAACCCTTACCAATAACATAAAAAAACTAACACATATTTTGTATGTTATATGTATTATATACTGTATCCTTACAATAAAGTAAGCTACGGAAAAGAAAATATTATTAAGAAAATCACAAAGAAGAGAAAATACATTTACAATCTTGTACTGTAAAAAATCCATGTAGAAGTGTATTGTGTTCAAACCTGTGTTATTTAAGGGTCAACTATACTCATGACTATTACCTCAATTATTCCTCACAAAAGCCTTGTGAGGTAAGCATGATTATACTACTAAGGAAACAGCAGTTTAACAAAGTGAGTAGGCTGCTTAGAAGTTATCAGACAGTAGACCAGGGCCCAGGCCTGGATTGTTCTTTGTTCCTTCCTCTGATGCTAGCACTTAAATTTGATTTCTGTAGTGGAGTTTTTAGGTGAATCAACATTAAAATTATATTAAGTTTTTTTCTGTACTAGAGGTTTTAGGCTGAAGTGATATTATTAAAATTACATCCTTTTGAAAAATATTTATTGAGTATAAATAAATGTCCTATACATTAAATATCAAGAAATAGTCATTATTGATTACAAGTCAGGCTGTAATACTGAGGGAACCACAGAGTCAAAATATCCACTCATGATACAGTAGTGATAATTCATTCCAGTATCAGACATAGTAATGATTTACTCACAAGACACAACAAAACCCATCAAAAAAGGCTATCACTTTAATCAACCTATAATACCACAATAGAAAATAGTTTTGAATCATAGAATGAACAGTCCCAATAATCTTATCTTTGTCTTATCAATTTGTCAGGTCAATTTGAGATTGTGGAGTTATACGATCTTAGAATTTCAAGATTCCATTTCCTTGGTTTTATTTCAAATTATTATTAATAAATGAAAACAAGTCACACATAGTCACTGATACTTGTAAGTAAGTTAGTCTTTCATAAGAGAAAGGAAATAAAAATTTAGTATGAAGAAAGCATCCCCCAAACAATGAATCTCTTTACAGAAAAAAATGAAAGAGCAATATAATTAAACTTTCCTTTGAAGAAAGGAAAGAAACCTAAATCTGTTATGGTAAATTTGGAAAGATAAATATTTCCTAGTCCCACAATATGTGTTTATTTTACATGATGTACTTGAATGACACAAGTCTATGAAGCAGGGATCTGTGGCAATCCAAATTCATCCACCAGGACTCCATCCTGTGAAAAGAAAGCAATGTTCAGTGCCACTGTTTTTCAACTGATAAAACAAATGACTACAAATATTTAGTAGTCAAAACTCATTTCTGAGTGTTTAACCAATGAACATAAAAATCCCCGAGAAGATGAGAAGGCATTTTCATGAAAGGTAAAGGAGGACGTGATAAACCAAGAAAAGACTGGAAAAGCTCAAAATGGGTGGTTGTTTGCAGGGTAAAAGAAGAGTGAGAGAAACAGACACTTAAGAGTAAACCTGGGCGGGGGGTGGTGCCTGGGTGGCTCAATTGGTTGAGCAGCTGCCTTTGGCTCAGGTCATGATCCCAGGGTCCTGGGATCAGGTCTTGCATCGGGCTCCCTGCTCAGCGGGGAGCCTGCTTCTCCCTCTGCCTGCCACTCCCCCTGCTTGTGCTCTCTCTCAAATAAATAAAATCTTAAAAAAAAAAAAAAAAGAGTTAACCTAGGAAGGGGAAGTAGGAGCTGGGAACGTCTGGGAGGAAAGGCTGAGGGGTTAGTCCCTGCCTCCAGATTCCCATTTTTCACTCTGATTCCTAAAGTGAACCACTACCTTCTGCAGCTTCCCAGTCCTTAAAGGAGCAGTGCCCTAGGACAGGCAGTTACTTCCACATTGTACTTTAGTAAAAACTTATAGGCAGTGATACCACTATCAATTAAGAAACTATACCTCAACAGCACATTTAACTCAGGAATCTGTGACAAATAGAAGATGGAAACAGATGCTACAGGGTATTGACAAGGTGAGTTGTGGTAGGTAGCATTAATAAAAATTATTTCAGGTAGGGGCGCCTGGGTGGCTCAATCGTTGAGCGCATCTGCCTTCGGCTCAGGTCATGATCCCAGGGTCCTGGGATCAAGCCCCGCATAAGGTTCCCTGCTCCACAGGAGGCCTGCTTCTCCCTCTCCCACTCCCCTTACTTGTGTTCCCTCTCTCGCTGTCTCTCTGTCAAATAAATAAATAAAATCTTTTTTTTTTTTTTTAAGATTTTATTTATTTATTTGAGAGAGAGAATGAGACAGAGAGAGCGAACATGAGATGGGGGAGGATGAGGGAGAAGCAGACTCCCCGCTAAGCAGGGAGCCTGATGCGGGACTTGATCCCGGGACTCCAGGATCATGACCTGAGCCGAAGGCAGTCGCTTAACCAACTGAGCCACCAGGCGCCCAATAAATAAAATCTTTAAAAAAAAATTATTTCAGGTATGCTCAAAAAAACCAACCTGTGTGCCTGGAACCTTGAAATGGTCAGAGGCAGGGGTGGTGAGGTGGGGTAGAATGGGCAGTAAAGAAAGGTAAGATTACCCTAGACTCAAGGAGGAAAGGAGGGGTACAGTAGGGGAAGATGCACATTCATAGAAATTAGCTAGAAGGACCTGAGAAACTACCTACTCCCTACCTTTCGCTCCCTACATTTCATAGGTGGGAAAAACTGATGAAGTTCAGACAGAAAACAAGGATTTCTAATTTGCTCCAAGTTGGGGTGCCTGGGTGGCTCAGTTGGATGCTGAGCATCTGACTCTTGGTTACGGCTCAGGTCATGATCTCAGGGTTGTCCAGCTCTGCGCTGAGGGGGAGTCAGCTTTGGGATTCTCTCTTTCTGCACCCCCACCCTACTCTCTCTCTCAAATAAATAAATCTTTTTTTTTTCTTTATTTGCTCCAAGTCATAGAGTGAATAAAGGCAGAGCTGAGGAGATTGACTCTCACTCAAGGGTTCTGCACACTCAATGTGCACGTTGGGAGATAATGCAAACACAGGATAAATGGCAATAGAAAAAAAATGACATTTACACGAGGAACTAAGATAGAGTGAACAGGATTTCATAAGTAACAAAATTTTATCTGTTTATAATAATGACAACCATGTGGCTTTGGATAGGGCTTTCAGTTCGCCATACAAGATCTAACTTGGTCTATACAACAATTATGTGAGATAATTATAATTATCTGCATGTTAAAGATACAAGGAACAGAAAAGTTCAAAACAGTTAAGTGATTTGCCAAGTCTCACAGTCAGTTAGTGGCGGGGCTGAGACTTAAACCCAGGTATCCTGATTCTTTACCTTGTTAAGTGAGAATCTTTCTATATTAAGTCTTATACTTAAATTATTAATCTTTATTAAAAAAAAATCCACCCTACAATTAAGCAGTGTGTATGGAGGACAGAACTTTCTTTCATGCTGTTGCCCAGCAGGGTTCATGCATGTGTTAGTGATACTTTTCCAGGAAATGCTATCTAAAACCTATAAATGGAACCTAGTACAAGTTCATACAAATTGTTAATGTAGAAAAATACTCCTGGGCCTCCATGACACAATGTACACAGCCTGTCCACAGTTTAATATTAGCAAGGGGTCCCAAAATAATGACTGAGACAATCTTTCCTTGTTCTAACTTAAGGACTACCTTGTAGATTCCCAAACTGGTGATTAAGCATAAAACCTTTACATTTTGCATAGCTAACAGAAAGAGAAAAAGCTTTCACCTTATTCTTTGTGTCAGTGGGAACACCTTCTGGAATTGCAGGTACAGATGCTGCTTCATCCAAGTAAGAGCTGTCTTCGTCGGCCAGAAGCTCATCACCCAGTGCATCCAACTCTGATATTGAAAAAGTCAACATTTCACTAAAATTTACACAAGAAAATTGGCAGCTAATGTTAAGAAAGTTAGATAAATTATTTGTTATAAGACAAAAATTTTAAAACAAAGAGAAAAGGATTATTAATTTTTATTTTCAAAATAAAAGATGACCATTATAAGAAACTTTCAAGGGAACTGATGTGGTAAAATCTATGAAAAACAAAAACCAAACTAAAACAAACAAAACAACCATTCCCCACAGGTTTACAAGGTCCTAGTCTTCATGAGAAGAGTCTAGAGCTATCGCTTGGCCAATTCAAATTAGAAAATTTGGATAATAACAAATATACAAAATTTTCTCTCATTTATTGATGAACTTGAAAGAAGGCAGTGAAAGAAAGCAAGAGATTGTTATATACTGATGATTATCACATGAAATCAGGCTTTAAAAACAAGTCTACAGTAAAGTGAGTTGGAAATGACCAAGAGAAATGACAATAGCAGGTAGAGATTCATCAGGGGAAACTCAGGATAGGAAATAAAGAAATTAATGTTTTAAGTATACAATATAGTGATTCAACAATTCTATACATTACCTAGTGCTCATCACGGATAAGTGCACTCTTAATCCCCTCCCCACCCCTCTAGCACTTTGTTCTCTATAGTTAAGACTGTTTTTTCATCTTTTTCTTTGTTTCTTAAATTCCACATATAAGTGAAATCATCATGGTATTTGTCTTTCTCTGTGGGACTTAATTCACTTAGGATTATATCCTCTAGATCCAACCATGTTGTTGCAAATGGCAAGATTTCATTCTTTTTATGGCCAAGTAATATTCCACTATGTATATATATACCACATCTTCTTTACCAATTCATTTATGGATGGACACTTGGGCTGCTTCCATATCTTGGCTATTAAAAACAATGCTGCAATAGATATAGGGGTGTATGTATTTTTTCAAATTAGTGTTTTCGTTTTCTTCAGGTAAAGATTCCTCTCCCTGAGACCACTTAACAACCCCTCCCGTTTTTTTCCTGCTAACCCCTACTCATCCTTCAGGACCCATGCCTGTCTCCACTCCCAAGTAGGTTACATTCCCCAGCTATGCGCTCCACAGTACCCCATACTTCTCCTTCCCAACAGTTTGTGTTCTTGCTATTAATTATTTGAAACAAGCAGTTTCTTACACCTGGCTAGAGAAGCTTCATGAATGCAGGGACCGTATCCGCTTTCTTCAACGTTAAACCCCCAGCATCTAACACAGTACCTGGCATATGGCAGATGCACACTAAGTACTTGCCAGTGACTATTTCTTGATCTGCTTTGCTGTTCTGAGGGAGAGGACTCCAATAATAGGGAGAACAAAATCCAAAGAAAAATGGCAGGGAAAGGCAATAATTAGATACCAAGTACCAGGTCAGCAGAGACCTTTGCCCCAACTTTCCTCTGTAGCTTGTCCTTCCCAGAGTTGTTGGTGGAGGATGCAAATCTGACATGCCTGCCTCACAAGCTCTTTGCCCAGAGACTGTACCATAAACTAACTCTCACAGAACCCTCGCAGGAATTTTCTCTAGCATTTGGGAAAAGGTACCAGGAAATCACCCATTTCAGACTCTAAAACTTTTTCTTTCCTAATTGCTTTTCCCACAACATACCTGCTTCCAGGTCATCTTCATCTAATTCTGGGGTACCATAACTACGGCTCAGCGCTTCTTGGATTTCACTGGCATCTTCCATCATATCTTCTAGCTGGTCTTGTAAGTCCTTACAGAAATACATATGACAGCTTTCATTCATTTCTTACTATTTTCCTCTAACCACCCCCCACCCTATTCTCTCCCCTGAATCTTAGAACAAGCAATTTAAAAAAAGATAATGTACATAAAATGCCAAGCACATACCAGTTCTCAACAATTGTTAGTTTCCTTCCCTTACCCCAGTCCTTGCCTAGTGATTGTTTTTAGTCAACAACTGAGCAGGTGCTCCTCTGAAGGATGGGTCTGAATAACTCCTGAATGCCCCTTCCAATTAAAAGTATAAGAGAGCCTTAGAGGGGAGGGGATGGGGAGATGGGTTAGCCTGGTGATGGGTATTAAAGAGGGCACATACTGCATGGAGCACTGGGTGTTATACGCAAACAATGAATCATGGAACACTGTATCAAAAACTAATGATATAATGTATGGTGATTAACATAACATAATAATAAAAAAATAATAAAGCAAAAAAAAAAGTATAAGAGAGCTTAATGAACATCTAAAAACCACAAAACTGAAGATTCCCCTAAAAGTAACTGTGAATGCCAATGACCCACATAATCCTCCTTTTTGGTAATAAAATATAAACTCAAAAATAAAGAAGAATTAAATTGGGGCACCTGGCTGGCTCAAAGAGCATGCGACTCTTGATCTTGGGGTCGTGGGTTTGAAGACCACCCTAGGTATAGAGATTACTACAAAAATAGAAATAAACTTAAAAAAAAAAGAATTAAATTGGTGACCTTGCATTGAATTTAAGGTGCCTCATGGAAATCCAAAGTCTTATTGCAAGAACAGATGCCCATCAGCTCTCTGTCATTACAGAAAGTTTACCTAAAACATTAAATCCAGCAACATCTACACTATCAACATTTTCCTAGTTTATGGAGAAAAGCAGGTAATAGAGACAAGCAAATTAGTCTTTTTTTTTTAAAGTTTTATTATTTATTTATTTATTAAAAGATTTAATTTATTTATTTGAGAGCGAGAATGAGAGACAGAGAGCATGAGAGGGGGGAGGGTCAGAGGGAGAAGCAGACTCCCTGCTGAGCAGGGAGCCTGATGTGGGACAAAATATGGAACGCTTCACGAATTTACATGTCATCCTTGTGCAGGGGCCATGCTAATCTTTGTATTGTTCCAATTTTAGTATATGTACTGCCAAAGTGAGCATGCAAATTAGTCTTCTTAAGTCAGCTAAAGACTGACTACACTGTGTAGGGAAGAAAAACAGTAGTGCAAACAACTGGGTGATACAAAAAGTTCTACTAGGCCCACCCTGGATGGAGAAACAGAAATGGAATCAGGACAGGCTTGATATCTGAAACCAGGCTGGTGAAAATAATTGACTGAGAGCGTAAGTCATCTGTGAATGATCTACCCATGATTGACTGGAAGACTACAAGGCCAGAAATAATGTAAAACCAATCTGAGAAGTGCTACAGCATAATATAGGGGAGCTAGTATAATGGTTAGGAGCACAGACTCTGGAATCAGACATATAAAAGCTCGAATTTTGCCTTACTTAATGAGAAAGTCTCTAAGCCATAATTTTCTCATCTGCAAAATGAGATTATTAATGGCCATACCTCAGAGGATTTTGTAAGGTTTTACTGCAATAATACATGTAAAACACTAAGCACTTAATACTACATATCTTCCACTGTGTTAAGGATATGCAGAGAGGGGCCGCTGGGTGGCTCAGTCAGGGAAGCATCTGCTTTTGGCTCAGGTCATGATCCTGAAGTCCTGGGATCGAGCCCCGCATCGGGCTCCCTGCTCAGCGGGGAGTCTGCTTCTCCCTCTTCCTCTACAGTTCCCCCTCTGCTTATGCTCTCTCATGCTCTCTCGCTCATGCTCTCTCTCTCAAATAAATAAAAAAAATCTTACAAAAAAAAAAAGGATATGCAGAGTAACAATGTGCTCGTCATAGACTTAAATTTCCACAGAAAGGGAACAGACTATTGTTGATAATGCAGAAAGTCCAAATTGGCACCATTTATCCTTCAGAATATTTAGAACAATGCAAAACATTTGAGAACTCCTCCGGGCCCCCAAAGTGGAGGTTTGTTTTTCCATTTAAAGGTGAAGAAGACAACACAGAGAGTAAAATGAAAAACACTTTAAAAAAAAGAAAACATTAAGCTTTTCTGTATTTTCAGTGCCCAAATACCACACTGTATGTATGTGACATTCCGCTGTACAGAGAAGCACTGGCTGAAACAAAAACTAAAAGAGAGTGAAAACACAGAGTAAGCTAATCAAGTCAAGTTTCTGCCGTGAATCATATATCAAGACAAGTCTCCCCAAATCATTTATGGATAGGATTCCTTGAAATAGACTCTATGAAAGACACACACACACACACACAATCATCACACAAAGAACTAACGGGTTCAATATTGGATAAACAACACAAAAGTAATATAAACAAATACAAGCACTAGACCTGATGTGCAGAAACTGAAAAAATAGGAAGGCTAGAAACAGAGAACATAGGCAAAATGAGTTATAAAACAATGAAAATGTTTTATGAAGTATTTTAGGAAAACAAATGATTCAAAATAGATAGCCCAACTGACAACAGACACAGACAGACACAGAGGCCAAAAGGGAGAGAAAGAAGCTCTCCACCTGCCATATGGGCAAATCTACGAGGAGACAGGAAAAGGATAATTAGATAGGGAACCAGACAGACAACTGCAGATAAAAGATGGAGAGACGTACAAAACCCCCAGAAAGACCACAATTTCTGTTTTGACATTAAATAGCTCTAATTAAAACATAAGGAACCCTATAAACAGAAAACAAAATTCAGTTTCATTATATTACTAAATAGTATTGTACAAATAAGACAAATATACTTGGAACATTTTCTCAGTCAATGTCCTGGAAGATGGTACTGAGCTTAACTCCCTGTGAGCAGAGACTGGTGCAGGATTAGAGAGACAGCCACGGGCAGTCCAAGGAGGGGTGCTCAAGAAAAGTCAGATGGGAGGAATGTCCTCACTTGTACTAAAGATCCACACTCCTGGAGAATACTCTTCAGAGGCAGTAAAATGCCAGGAAGATAGTAAATAACCAACAAATATGGCTTGAATCAGGCAGGACTGCTTTAGCTTTAATAGTTTCTTGTTCATTTGTTCATCATCCATCAAAAACTTTCTGAACACCAACTATGGCCAGGCATTGTTCAAGGTCTAACAGTGAACAAAATCAAGTCCCTGCCCTCATAGAAAGAGACATTCTACTGGGGGTTGGGGGGAGGGTGGAGTGGTGTGATAAAGTCAGGAATACCACCATACTGGCAGAAAGGCCTCTTTCCTCTGACCAGTCACCGTTCACTCCCTCTGCTATCTCTGCTTGCCATCTGGGCTGTTCACCTGACAGAGGTGAGAGGAGCCAAGTGCTTAGGGTTCACCTCCCAGCTAAAGCACGATCTCAAAAGACATGTTAATTTTAAGAATCTAATGACATTATTATTAAATATATAAAGAGAATTACTAGAAAAGGGAGCCAGCTCTACTCCAGGAACTGTGTCAAACACCTGACATATACATCCTCATTTAACACTCGTGACAATCCTGGGAGATGGGTCGCAACATCACTACTTTATAATTCAGGAAACAGACTCAAAATCATTTAGTGAGTTAGAAGTAACGGGAAACTGGCGGCTTATTTACTGCGTGTCTGTTATGTGCCAGGTATTGTGTGCACAGACACACCAGCTCATTTATTTCATCCTCACCATAACCATATATGGCATTAGGATCCTTGTGTTAACAAGGAATCAGAGTCATTTGGTATCCTTTCCCAAAGCTACTCTATTAGTAAATGGCAAGCTCAAGATTGAATCAGTCTTCTGTGTTCTTTCCATCACATACACATTCATTTGGATTCTTTCCAAAACTAGTGTACATTCTTTTTTTTTTTTTTTAAAGATTTTATTTATTTACTTGAGAGAGAGAATGAGACAGAGAGAGAGAGCACGAGATGGGGGAGGGTCAGAGGGAGAAGCAGGCTTCCCGCCGAGCAGGGAGCCCGATGCGGGACTCGATCCCGGGACTCCAGGATCATGACCTGAGCCGAAGGCAGTCGCTTAACCGACTGAGCCACCCAGGCGCCCCACTAGTGTACATTCTTGCAGAAACCAGTACACATCTCACCTCAATCTGGTCGATTTTCACTTGCTTGTATGCTTTCTTCATTTCCTTTACTCCCAGTTTCATAGCATCAACCTAAAAAAAGATAAGAGAGAACACAATGTCTTAAGAAGCCATGTTGGTGAAATTGTCTTTTAAATACTATGGGAGAAGAACAAAAGAGTAAAAAAATAAAATAAAATCATGGGAAAAGGTGCTATGGAAATACCGTGGTCTTGGTGTCCTTCAATGACTGGATGGTGTAATTGGCTTGTTCCATGTTAAATGACTGTTGGGCAAGATTGTCCCGCTGCTGCTCATACCTTTTTAGAATCAATTAAGAAGGGTAAATGTGAGCCAGACAGAAATCCTCAGGGAGAAAGTATCTCCAACATTAAATAGGAATTTTCTTTAAAAAATTAAATACACAGAAAAACTGGCAAAAGCAATGTAACCCCTCTAATACAAATATCATCTGATGTACCCCTCCAGTCTTTTGTCTTTGTATCTTAGTTACGAGACTATTTTCCACTTCATATTATAGCCTTTGCTGTTTTCTATGTTACTACATACTCTTAATGTCTTTATGATGTTTCAAATGATTTCCTATGATAAATCCCCGAAAGTAGAATTCTTGGGGCAAAGGGTAGGACGATTTTTAAGGCTCTTCATACATATAACTAAACTGGTTTTCAGTAGACCGAACTTCTTGAGGATAGGTATTATTTTTTATTAATCTTATATCCATAATTAAGTAATTCACCGGGCCTGATGTAATACCTGGTGCTCAAAAAATTTTTTTTAAGATTTTATTTATTTATTTGACAGAGAGAGAGACAGCGAGAGAGGGAACACAAGCAGGGGGAGTGGAAGAGGGAGAAGCAGGCTCCCCGCTGAGCAGGAAGCCAATGCGGGGCTTGATCCCAGGACTCTGGGATCACGACCTGAGCCGAAGGCAGATGCCCAAGGACTGAGCCACCCAGGTGCCCTCCAAAATACTTTTTTTAAAATAAAGTTTTATATCAAAGTATAATACTACCTCAAAGACTTATGTCCCTATGGTCTTTATACAATATTTGGAAACCGTCTAACTATCCAACCAGAAGAAAATTGGTCAATTCATGGTGTAGGCAAATGGTGGTAGAATTATCACCACCCCATTAAAGTTTCCAAAGAATGTATAAAAGGGAAAAAAAATGTATAAAAGGAGAGAAATGCTCATGATATAATGTGAAGTGGAAAGGGACAACCTATATTTACACAATACAATTTTTCTTCTAAAAAGCTATATGCACAGATTCCATGCATGCACAAGCAGAGAAAAGAAACTAAGAAATCAGCATTCTAAAAATGGTTATTTCTGGTAGTAGGAATCTAGGTAAATGTTCTTTTCTTCTGTTCATGTTTATGTATTTTCCTAGCGTCTATGATGAATATACATTCCTTTTGTTAAAAAAAGTTACTTAAAAACTGCAGTGCTACCTACTAAGAAGGAACAGTTTTACCATGCTCTCACAACTATCATTTTTTCCCCCCAATTTTGTCTAATTTAAAAGGAGGAAGGTGGTATCTGATAAAAAGACATTTTATTTTATTTTTTAAATTTTTATTGTTGTTGATCACCATAGATTACATCATTAGTTTTTTTTTTTTTTTTTTTTTAAGATTTTATTTATTTATTCATGAGAGACAGAGACAGAGAGAGAGAGGCAGAGGGAGAAGCAGGCTCCCAAGGAGCAGGAAGCCCGATGCGGGACTCGATCCCAGGACCCTGAGATCATGACCTGAGCCGAAGGCAGACGCTTAACCATCTGAGCCACCCAGGCGCCCTACATCATTAGTTTTTGATGTACTCTTCCATGATTCATTGTTTGTGTTGATAAAAAGACATTTTAAAAATAAAAATAGAGATATCAACAACATTTCTGGTTCCTTATAAGCTGCTTATATCTGACCCCTACAACCCTGCAGAAGGTCTCATCAGCTGGACAGCCCACAGGGGTAAGCACCAACGATGCTATCTGGCTTCTGC